CTAACAGATTTATTATTCTACCATTATCGTAGTTATAGTTATTCTTTGTATAAGCAAACTATCTAATATCTCGTCAAATTTAGTACTCTTTAAATAAGCTTCGAATATCCTATCTTTGCTTACTTATGGGATTTTAATCAATGTGTTAGATTTAACTTAAAGTACGCAGAAAAAACCTAAGACCTATTATATAAGCCATAACATTTCAATATCAACACAATGAAACAGACAACAGTGGAAAGAAAGGATAGAAAGAAAAGATGGAAAGAAAATATACATGAATAGAAAAAAACAATATGGAAAGAAAAGATGGAAAGAAAATACATGAATAGAAAAAAATAATGAAAAAAAAAAAAAAGAAAAACAAAGCAAGATATCACCGCAAGAACAGTGTTAAGAGGAGAAAACAACTCAAACACATTGTCATACACAGTTTTACAAATTATATGTACTTCCATCTCATTCTCATTTAATTATCATTATAGCAAAAACAGCGTGATTCATTCCAAGTTATAATATTTGGCCTTAATTTCCTATACCATAAAGGCAAAACTGTTGCAATTTAATCCGCCGTTAATCACCAATATCTCAAAGTGTCAAAATATCATCCTTTCATCCTTTCTTTTTCTCCATTTTCTCGTCAAATTTATTCACTTTCATCATATGCTACAACAACTGAATTTGCAAGTTCAACAATGAAACGATCTAGCCAGGTGACAGAGTTTGGAGCAATGCTACTACCTTCCAGGAAGCCAAGGTGTCCACCATGTTTCGTGAGAACGAAGCCGAAATATTCATTTATTGCAGCTAATTCTCGAACCGGATGCCAAAGACAAGGCGGTACGAGCGGATCATCCAGTGCATTCATAAAAACCTGCAGCATCTTCGATTCTTATTACTACATTAACATGATTGATCGCATTTTATAGTTAAATATCCTGTCTTCTTCACTAGTGGTCCCATTTTTAAAATACAACAGAAAGATAAAAAATTTATCAATTGCTAGTAGTAAATGACAAAAAATTTAATGTACTGCCTACCGCATTCTTGTTTGCACACAATACCAGCAATGAAGTAATAAATTCTGCCTTTTTAAAACTTTAATGTAAATAACGTAAGAAAAAACAGTATTTATTATTCAAACGAGATAAAATGTAGAAAAAATAAAAATTGGTCCACATTTTAATTTGAATAGATAATTTTTGCTCTCATTCCTTTGGGAAAAAAACCAGACATGTACCATTGGTATTTTAATCTTCGGAATTACTGATAAGGAACTGATGTCACGATAAAATTCCTCAACACTTTCGTAACCGAGTATACGGCGAGTGTATGAGTCATCCAGTGCCATTATTGATGTTGCTGCCCATAAGTGCTACAAAATTTACAGTAAGATGAATTTCTCAGACTATGAGAAAGGTTCGAAACTTGGAAAAAAACGCAGAAATCTAGGAACACATGAACTCCCACAGTATAAAGTGTTTACACACAATTTTAAAACAGAAAAAAAAATTACTTACCTGCTCATCTATTAAACCTGTCTTAACATGCGGTGCCACTGCCATATCGTAGTTTCTTCTCAGTAGCCGTTTCATATTTTCCGTTATCAAATAGTTATATGCACGACGACCATTCTCCCAACTATGATACAGCGAAAGTGATCTAAAATCGACTTCCGCTAAAAACTTCGAAAAAAAGAGAATTCTTGTTTCAATTTTCGATACATATTCCAAGAACGTTGTTATTTCTGGAAGAAAAGCAATAAGAACTTTAAAAAATACAGGAAGAATGAAGAAAGAAGTAAGAAGGGAAAGCGTAGTAAGGTATTAATCTCTCAGGATTTTATTTTCAAAGCAAAGACAGCAAATGGATATCTACGTTCAAAGATGAAAAAATTTTGAACTGTCGAAATACTTCAAAAACGATCCCACAAACTGTTGTAGAATGATTATCTGATCCGAATTTTTAAGCTTGAATTCATATCGCCAAATGTCATGGTATAATGAGGAAGAAAGTAAAGCATTCTCTGTACTAATCATTAAAACTAACATAGCACTACAGCAAATAGAGCTGTGAGCAGTAAAAATATCTAATAAAATTAATAGCGAAGAACCAACGATATAGCACAATATCCTTGTGCGACGGAAAGTCCAGCAATTATTCGATGTTGCAAACCATCAGATGACAATTTAGCTATCATGCGTGTGGTTATATTTCCACCCATACTGAAACCGATGCAGAAGAAACGAGTGGACGGATATAAATCATGCAAACGTGCCATCATCTCTTCCATTTCCTCTGTACCACCTTTAAAAAAATTGTTCTGCAAAAATTGCTCCATAAGTTAAACTCTGTTGCGTCTTGAAACGACTCAAAAAAAAAAAACGATTCAAAAAGAGTCACTATCACGGCCATATCCTCCACTGCCACAGGAAAGCTATGATCAATAATTACTGGCATTAACTGACTTCCCAACAAGAATTGCTTTGGTTAATCAATCAACCATTGTACAAACATAACTCAACGAAGCTTGTATTAGTATTCTGAATAAGCTGTTATAAAACCAGCAAACTTATCATTAACTTTACAACCAATAGTTCTATCTTACTACTCTCTGAGATAATAATTCCAAACCAACCATAGGAAAATATACGATTTGATGTGAGCGGAACATGCTTTAGCGCACCAAGATGGTTCAACACGGCACAACGAAATCCATTTTCCTGAGCATAATGAACACATGTACGGATGTAATTTGATTCACTCGTATTCGCGATACCGGGACACAAAGCTAATGTTAGATCTTCTGTAAATGCTCGAGACTACAAAATTTATAAAACTAATCCTTAAATTCTGCAACAGAAAAAAGCAGAAAAATAGAAATAAAATAAAGCAAAGAATTAACTCGAAGTCTCGGGTAACAATACTTCCTTCGATTATTTCAATGATCTTATTTATTTTCGTCTGGTGATTAGAAGATTATATTCTTACTTCTAGAAGGATGTAGCTTAACTGGTTCAAAAACATCAAATACGACTGATGCGCCATCACTTAGTTTCACAACATGCCGATAGTCATAAGTCCGGATGAGTGATGCATGTCCAAATAATCCGTACGATGCTGTTTGCAGATGACCACTTCGACCCCATAGTAATGGTGGTGAATAACTGAAATTTACTAACATATAAATATGATCAGAATCAAATTTCAACTACATGGAAGTCGAATCCTTCTCAACAGATTTATCCAATGAAGCTCTAGTCCTTGAATCCTAGCCGCTTTCACACATGAATATGGACAAGAAATTAATAACTACATTTTAATTTACATCTGCACCACGAACGTAGAAGCATCTCTTCGATTCATCATCACCGAAATCTACAAATTCGGTAAGGCTTAAGGAAGGATCAAGAAACAAGCAGTAAACTGACATTTCGTTCAGAATGGGACATCGGTCTAAAATATCACCGATCGATATATTCCTGCCAAGTGCTGTCTTCTGCATATATGTTACCCAAGGCTTTTCTGGATAACTCAATACATCGAGGAAACGGATTAATGCAACGATCAAAACAAATGCCCCCAGCCAAACATAATTCGACCAATGATCCATTAACGAAATCCAATTTAGAAACGATTCTAAAAATGCCATTGTGCCTTCTACTACCATCAATGTATCATCCTATTCGTTATCTTCCTCAGAAGTGTATCGACTTCGTTCTGCAAAACATTACAACCAGATAAAATGATTTTTTCTTTTTTGAAATCAATTTAAATCAAAATACCCGTAAAAAAACGCAAAAAATCATATGACAAAACATATCCAAAATACATTGGTAAGATTGATAATATATAAATTACGAAGTCAAGATTGAAATTTGAAAAACGAAAGAAATTAATGAACTTTTTGGTGCAAAAAAAAACAAAAACTTCGAAAGAAAGAGAAAATATACAAGTATCTGTAACACTTCAAGCTGATACGAATTTCTGGGATAAAGGAAAATTATAAATGTAAGAAGATGGGATTTTCAGTTGATTTAGTGCGAGTAAAGGTAAAGCGGAGATAACATTCCCGTAACAGAGATTTCGGGAAACATTTTCAAAGCAATTCGAACTAGTACAGTTGAAGCTTCCAATCAAAATACCACCAGGAAAAAGCAAACGAGAAGCTTCTCGCTTATGCCGCCCACTTCTCCCTTATCAAAACCTTATCAAAATTTCTCGTCTCCCCGCCCCCCGTGACTACCTGCCGGTAATTGGCACCACCCTAGAAACTATCGGTATCTTTTCAGTCATTCCGCAACTTGAACATGAGCCCACAGGTTTGCAACAACATGGTAGCTATTGTGAAAATTCTAGTCTCACAAATTCTGGTGAAATGCAAGTAGGAATGATTCGTTCGTATCTATTTTGTCTATTCCTGGGAGTATTTGTTCAAGTTACCCGAACAAAGGATAATCTAAGTTACTCAGAATAAGGAGTAATTCTAATGACCTAAAAAAAGCAATATTTTTGAACTAATCAGAGTCAATTATAAGTTATTCGTGGTACTCTAAATTGAGACTAATCTAAGTTACCCAATATTTAGGGCAATAAAAGTTCTTTAAATTAAAGAGTAATTCATAGTTAGCATAATATGAAATGATTCAGAATGTTTACAACACCTTTTTGCATCCTCTTTTGATAGGTAAAATATGCAAAGTTTACTTCTGAACTTAATGAGTTAATTTCATTTTTGGAAGAAATATTAATGGTTAAAAGTCAAAATTTAACATTATGTTTTCATCAAAATATTTGTATTTTGCTTAAAAAATACTTAGATTTTCATTAAATTTTTTTTTGCAAAATTATGTTTTATATTTCAACATTTAGGAAATTCAATTTAAATGAAATAGCACTATATTTTTGTGTTATGATATTTAAGAGAATTAATTTTGAATGAAATAACTTTATCTTTCATTTATTTGTTAAAAGTTGGCCAAGTTTATTACGCTACTCTCCGTAGAATGTAAACATAAATAGTTGGAAGTGTTTTAATATTTCAAATATTTCAAGAAATTATAACAAACTTATGCTGGGTTAGTTTTGTGTAACTTATTCCAAACCAAGTTTTTTTTTCTCTTTCAAATTTTGTCAAAATTTTGAATTTACTTATAAATTTGCCAGTTTATAAGTTAAAGATTTATAATGAGTTTAAATTTACAACAGTTTGATACTGTACTTTATTTTTCTCTCTACTACCCCAAAACATTACTCTAACATTACTTTACTGTTTTGTGTATTTTTGAGTGGAATTTTAACTTAATATTTCGTAAATTAATAAATATGAAAAAAAAACAGACGAAAAATTTATTCTTCAATTGGAAATTACAATCAATTACCGACAAGCTGATTCAATATCTTTAAGAATACTTGAATACTGGATTACTCATTCATTGAGATATTTAAGGATAACCGTATTATGAATGGTTGATAGTTTATAGTAAATTTGTCATGTAATGTTTTATCAATATATTGTATTAGTCAAATAGGATGAGAAATAGTGATATATGTGAAGTTGATTTCTTTTTTTTTTTTAAATGCAATTTTAAGAATTGTGGATTATTTTGATTTTGAATCTTTCTTGTATGTTAAATTTTTCAAGTAAGATATGATTATTCACTTAACTATTTCAGGTATTTCAATTTCATAAATTCCATTCAAGAACAAAAGATGATAGTGAAAGTTTAAATATAGATGAATAATAAGATGTCACCCTATATTGGCTGCTGTTACAACGGGGTCACCTGCAAAAGTGTATCACTTCAAGGCAGCGGTAAGACATTTTCATTGTCGTACCCCTTCGTGTCATCAGATCCTCGTCCTGATACCGCTTGGTCGTTCATTCATCTTATGCCCTCTTAATATCATTTCCAGTTAGTCATCATTAATAAAATCTGAGTTTTGAGTTCTGTAAATTGGTCATGATCATCAATCAATCTTAATTACCGGTTATCAGAAATTTCATACATGCATGCATACATATATATACACAGATCATCAAACTAGGGAAAGAATAATTAATTTATTTAATGAAATTTAAGTAATTGATTTTAAAATCTGTTCCCAATTTTTTTTGAGAATTCAATTTTGATCTAATCACATACTATTCAACAAACTATTTGTCATATTTACAAAAAAATTATTATATTATATTTGATTAATTTCTAAAAAAAAAAAGGCTTTTAATTACCAACATTATTGGATACTGTAACTAATTATCTTTAAATGAATAAATTTTAAAATGAAAAAGGAATGCAAAACTTGCATTATTAATCACAAATATAATATAATTCCTATATAACTGTTTGTTAGAATGATTTATTTTTTTTTTTTGCAAAATTTGAAATAAATATCAAATTTGTCTAATTCGAATTCTGTCTTCTTCCTTCATTTTAAATTTTATTTTACATTATCTGTTAGAATATCTTTACAGAAACTGTTGTTTAAATATAGGCTTATTTTATAGCAAATATTACTTTGATATTAATTTATTCAATTAAAATTTTTGAAAAATTGTACGATGCAGTAAAATGACAAATGACAATTAATTAGACAAATGAAGAAAAAAGGAAAGTTAATTACAAAAATAAGTTGGGAGATGCTTGCAAATATCATGATAAAATTGGAATGATAAATGATATTAACGTTAATGATATAACATCAATATCATAATGATAAGCAGACAAAAACATTTTACAACAAATGATCAGAATAGTATTGATAATAACATTAATCATAAAATTAGATTGTATTTATTGATTCTGATAATCAAATACTTTATCAGAATCAATAAATGGAGTTATATTATCAGTTTAACATTTTGTTTATGTTAATATCATTAACAACAATAAAAAGAATAAAGCTTACCAATAAGTTAATTTTAATCTCTTCCTTTTTCCTTTTTTTTTATTTTAAGAGAAAAAAAAGAAAAATTAAAATTCAAAAATTTGCTTCCCCTTTAATGATCGAAATAAATGAAAGAAGAGTCTATGGTGACACCAAGGACACGTGAATGATGACAAACATCGTGTAGGCAAGTCGCCAAAAATTTCACTTGCAAGGACAAATTTCATGGTCGTTTCGGGTAATTTTTTTTTTTTTTTTTTTTTCGTTCC